AACCCACTCGTGACTAATCTGAGTATGTATGAAGCTGGCCGCATAATGTTCCTGTCGGAGGGGCGGAGTGGCGGAAAGTGCCCGCATATAGCACTGTAGTCCCCTTAAAAGCGCAGGGTCGCTAGTAGTACCCCTGCGAGAGCTACTTGCCCTTTTCCTGGTCACAATTCCTTCCCCCGTGCCAGCTTCAGCCAACCACCGACCGACGTTGCCTCGCCCATACGCCTCTCCTTTCCGCGCCCTGCTTTTTCTTCCGCGCCCCGCTCACAAATCCGCGCCCCGCTTGATCTCCGCGGCGCAATGCTCTTGGTAACAAAATCGCTCAAGAATCAGACGAATTCTTCCAAGCTGCCATGCCTTTCTGGCCCCCGTCATTTCCTCACTGTCCCTTAAGCTCATTAAGATCGCGAATCACCGCTGTGGGGCTCCAATAATACACCCGCAAGTCCCCACCACACTCAAGCTCTAAAACCCGCTCTCAAGCTCAACAACAACCGTTCTTCTATATTTCTCCCTCGTATTCATTTGGGATCCATTTCAAACCTCAATTTCACATTGTTTCAGTCTACTCTCAAGAGGTTTGAAGCATCGTGCAGCCGAGTCACATCGGTCACACCGAGAGACGTCGCGAAGCGGACACATTACACCAGCGAAGATTACACCATGGCTCCCCGATCACCGCTCGGCATGCGCGCGCTCCTCGGTCTCCTCTCCATCACCGTCGCGATTCTCGCCGCGCTCGTCCCGACTGTCCTGTCCGCGGGTTGGCATCCCCGGTCTACGACAGCGCTTCACGCGGCGGGGTTCCCACCCACATTCACCTTTCGAGATTGAGAAGAGGCCTGTCGCCCGATGTGCCACGCGTTCCCCTCCACGTCGTTTTCCACGGCACGTGGAACGCTGCTGACGTGGCTCTTGTGGAAGATTTTATCAGCGAGTTGCCAGGTTACGAATCGCTGGCTCAGCTGGGAACCGTGGCCGTCGATAACAGCCACTACGACTTAGCTGAAGGTAACAGTTTTTCACCCCTTTCTTGCACCAATGTCACAAAATCCCGATTTTGCATACCTTGAGACTAACCTTGTGTTTTGATCTTCCTGCCTTTCGCTCTGTTCGCCCGTTCGCTTGAATCGCAGCCGTCCAGCACCAGATCGACATCGGCGCGCTTCCATTCGACCGTGCCGCGCTCTACCTCCTGGTTACCAGTGGCGACGTCGCAGTAACCATCGGCGGCGAAACCTTCTGCGAAGACTACTGCAGCAAGCAGTCGACGCTCGAGCTGCGCGGACCTAATGGATCCGTTGGGAAAACCAAGTTCATTCACACGGGTGACGTGTTCACGCGCTGCCCCGACCGCTGCACCTTCCGCGCCGCTCACTCAGCGTAAGCTCTCCGCGAAGACCTCTCTTCTCGAGATTTCCACCAGCCTCGTCTCCCACCCCCAATTCCCTGCCCTCCCACCCTGCTCCCCTGCCGTAGCCATCCCCACTTTTGATTTTCTTTTGTCAATCCGCATTTCTGACCGTGCCCTTTTTTCTCTTCGCTCCCCTGTTTCTGTCACGCCTGCAGTGAGCCCAACCCACTCCGCCACCTCCTTCGCCACCTAGGCTCGGCAATTACCGAGTCTGTTCCCGGACTTGATGCCGGACCCATCATTGCATCCGAGTTCCCCGAACGTGAGCTCCTGTCTCCAGCCACGGTTGACGAGCCATCTGCTTCCCGTTCGGCAACGGAGCAAGAGGAGGGGAACGCCACTGTCGCCCCCGCTACAACCGCCAAGATGTGTGCCGCCTCCCCAACAGAGACCTTCATCCATGCGATTACGTACGGAAGCAACTCCTCAGGTGTTTCTTCAGGTGCTCCCGCAGGGGACATCTCCACATGCGCAGCTGCTTCAGTCGGAGCCATGGTCGTGCCTCCAGCGGTTGCTGACCGAGCCAAGTAAGGATGAGGGCACGGAAGCACTCTGTAATGTTGTTACAGGTGTTACACATACACCACGACTCCGCTCTGTAAATACCTGCGGAAGCGGCAAATGGGTTGATTCTGAAGAGTAGCAGGTGGAGGCCTTAGCCTCAGGTTAAAACGTGTGTTGTCTAGCCTTTTAGCTTCTGGTTTTTCTCCTTCAATAAGAATGGAGGTGTTATTAGCCCGCGAATAGTTAGCATTTTGATCATGTCCATCTCATCAAAGTAAATGTCAATGCCATCAGCTCAGTCTCTGTCTGGTTTCTATACGTATGAAATCCTTCAATTAATTAACCAGCACAAAACTACAAGAGTACCAGTGTTTTCACTGGGTAGGCTTTGGTTTAGGCAGTCATCATTGTACGCACTGTACAGAATGGTAACATGTAGTTATATTACACAGAGTAGTCACGGTAGTCCTCTCATGCCACTACTCCACCTGCCTACTGGTAGTAAGCTTCATTGTTGTCCACACCTTGTTCAACCCAGGCTTTAAGTCATGCACTATGCCACTGATCCACTCGCTTGGGTACCTCTTTGTCACGCCTTCCTTGTTCAAGCCAGTCCGCCAAGCCAAGTAATCCACCAAAGAATAAGGTCTCAGAAGAGGCATCTTCAATGCTGCACATTGCACATACACACGTGCCTGCCTTCACAAGCTTGCACAGTACGAACATTCCTCTGCTCCCCCCCCCTCCTTACCCATCCTTACTCACCTCCTGAACCCACCCTCCATACCCACTCCCCCACACCCATCCATTTACACCCCTTTCCCCATGCTGTCAACCACTTGGCCTATTCAGTCCACCCCCCTCCCCAACACACAGTACCCCCGCAAACAAACGGCTCAATCAACGTTACCCCAATAGGCACCCACTAGGCTCCTACAGCCTTTTCCCAGCACACTGCTGAGCGCGGGGGGAAGAATTTTGAGGCGCCTAAAAAACCCAGCATAGGGATTACACTGCTGAGCGGGGAGGCAAGTTAGCAAGCACTAGCAAGGCCCCTCTTAGGGGCCTCGTTACAAGGTGTCTCTCCGATGGTATAAGCCACCTGAGCCTCATTATAAGGTATCTGTCTGATGGTACCAAGCTACCTAACCCTCGTTATAAGATGTATGGCGCTTCATGCTATGTCAACACAGTAGGATAGGCAGACCCCCAAGGGCTTTTTTATGAGGTGTCTGATGCTTGAAGTGAGACAGTGGTGTTGCTATTGGTACTGATACTGCTGCGACGGCTGCTGCTGTTGCTGCTGGGGGTGGCAACTGCTGCTACCGCGGCAGCTGCATTGTTGCTACTGGTACTGATACTGCTGTTGCGGCTGCTGCTGCTCCAGAGCCTGAAACTGCTGCTGCTGCTGCTGCTGCTGCTGCTGCTGCTGGTGCTGCTGCTGCTGCTGCTGCTGCTGCTGCTGGTACTGCTGCTGCTGATCCTGCCACTGCTGCCCTCCCTGAGTTACACCCATATACTCCTGTTGCCCATACTCCCCACCCTGCACCGCCCCTTGCCCAACTTTCTCCTCCTGCCCCTGTCCTTGCAAATACTGCTGCTGTGCCCCCTGCTGCTGCTGCTGCTGCTGCTGCCACCACGAGCCTTCGACCTCGCCTGCAGTTGCCACTCCACCGTTCCCCACCCCTCCATTCCCCACACCGACCCCTTCACTCCCCACCCCCATCCCCACCCCCATTGCTGAGCTCTCAACTCCCATAGCTGTTGCTCCTGATGGGATCGCCACCTGTCCCTCCCCGTTTCCCCCTGTGCTGCCCACTGCATACACTGCTGCCTGCTCTCCTGCTGCAGCAACACCTGAGGATTCTCCTGGCAAAACACCTGCAGCAGCACCAACAGCGGAAGCAGCAGCAGCAGAAGCAGGAGCCTCGACAGGAGCAGCAGCAGGAGGAGGAGGAAGAGGAGGAGGCATCCCGATATCAGCACTGGGACTATTACCAGAATCATTATTCACTCTAGCGTCAACCGCAGCAGCAGCATGAGGAGAGGTACTGGCGTCAGTACCATTCACAGCAGCAGTAACAGGGGCAGGGGCAGCAGCAGGAGCAGTTGCCGCAGCAGCAGTAGCAGCAGCTGCTGCAGCAGCAGGAACAGCAGCAGCTGTAGCAACCCCGAGGGTAGCAATAGGTGTGGGGGGTGGGGGAGTGATGCTAGACGCACGAGAGGCGTCCACATCCATTGCATCTGAGAAGTCCAGACGACCCAGGCGCCTGGAGAGTATTTGCAAGGGAAGAGAGAGGGGATGACGGATTGGACTTGAGTTGACTTGAGTTGACTAGAGTTGACTAGAGTTATGCTGGATGCGCGAGACCAGCATCTGAGAGGTCAAGCAAACAACCGTCCAAATTCATTGCATCTGAGAGGTTAAGTAAACCTAGGCGCCTAAGAGGTATCGTAAGAACGAGAAGAAAGTGGGAAAGGGGAGGACAGCTTTCGCTTATGTAGACGAGAGTTGACTAAAGTTGACCAGAGAATTCACTAGAGGTGACTAAAACGGCCTGATCCGAGTGGAGCTGACAAGGGCTAATCGCAGCAGGACGCCTCGAGGCAGGCAAGAGGGGACCGTAGCACCTACCTACCCTTCCCTGCTCTACCCTATCTAACCTCCCTTCTCTCCCCCCCCATCCCTCTCTCACCTGGTGCTGCTGATGCGCTGGATAATAACAGTCAGGTACCCGGAGGAGCTAGTTGCAATCCCACCCACCCCACCCCACCCTTCCCTACCCCACCATACCCCCCCGCCCCTTTTCTCACCTGGAGGTGTTGATGCGCTGGTTGATGGCCGCAATATGCCTGAAGGGGCTAGCAAAGGGGTCAGCAGCGCCCCCTCCCAGCAGCTGCGTGGACAGCTTGCAGTACTAGCAATATCACACAAATCTCCCGTCCTATACCCAGTCCCTCCCCACCCTCACCTGCTGCTGCTAATGCGCTGGTTGATGTGCCTGGAGGGGCTAGCTGCAATACCACCCACTCCACCCCGCCCCACCCTTCCCTACCCCACCATACCCCCCGCCCTCTTCTCTCACCTGCTGCTGCTGATGCGCTGGTTGATGGCCGCAATGTGCCTGGATGGACTTGCAAAGGGGTCAGCGGAAAGGCCCCCTCCCAGCAGCTGCGTGGACAGCTGCGCTGACAGCTGGCGGTGAGGGGAGGCCAACAGAGCCTCCATCTGGTGAACGAGGAGTGGCGATGAGGGGAGAAAGGGGTGGGAGAAGGGGATGGAAACGAAGGGGTCAGCAGAAAGGCCCCCTCCCAGCAGCTGCGTGGATAGCTGCGCTGACAGCTGGCGATGCGGGGAGGCCAACAGAGCCTCCATCTGGTGAATGGGGGGGAGTGGGCGGAGGGACAGCAAAGGAGGTCTGGATACGAACCCTCCTCCCAGCAAAAGAGGTGGGCAGTGGGGACACGTATACGTTGTGCCGAGAGGGCACACGGTGGGGGGAGGCACCCGGCACAGATGACGGTGACTGCTGGTGCTGCTGAAAGTGCGCGAGAGCAGACGAGGAGTGCACCAATGGGACTGTTGAAGTGGTGTCACATGCGCTACGTTTATTTTGTGCTTAACTTAACCTAGAGGTGGGCAGTGGGGACACGTAGACATTATGCCGAGAGGACACACGGCGGGGGGAGGCGCCTGGAACAGATGACGGTGACTGCTGGTGCTGCTGAAAGTGCGCGAGAGCAGACGAGGAGTGCACCAATGGGACTTTTGAAGTGGTGTCACATGCGCTACGTTTGTTTTGTGCTTAACTTACCCTAGAGGTGGGCAGTGGGGACACGTAGACATTATGCCGAGAGGACACACGGCGGGGGGAGGCGCCTGGAACAGATGACGGTGACTGCTGGTGCTGCTGAAAGTGCGCCAGAGCCGGTGACGAGTGCACCAGTGGGCTCCTGAACATGCTCCCCCCGTGCCCCCCGCCCCTCTCCCCCGCCCCCCCTGCTGCTCCCCCTGCTGTGGAGGCCCCGTGACCGAGGTGCAGCAGGAAGGACTTGGTGGCCGGGACGAAGATTTCATTATAGAACCGGATGATGTCTCCGTGCTGGGGGATGGGCTGGTGAGGTGGACAGGGAGGGGGGGGCGGGGAGGAAGTGGAGAGGGAGGAGAGGAAGCACGGGGAGAAGGGCACAATGAATCTGATGTGGAAGCAGCCGTGACGTGACCAAGGTGCAGCAGGAAGGACTTCGCTGCCGGGACGAAAATCTCGTTGTAGAACCGAATGATGTCTCCGTGCTGGGGGATGGGCTGGTGGGGATTGGGTGTGTGTGGGTAGATGGAGTGGAAGGAGGGGAGGGGAGGGGAGAGAGGAGAAGGATGGGAGGGATGGGAGGGAGAGCAGGAAGGGGAGGGAAGAGAGGGAGGAGAGGGAGTGACGGGAGAAGGGCATAGAATGAATGTGCAGCAGAGGAGGCGCTGTGGCCGAGGTGCAGCAAGAAGGACTTGGTGGCCGGGAAGAATATCTCGTTGTAGAACCGAATGATGTCTCCATGCTGGGGGATGGGCTGGTGTGAAGGAGGGAGGAGAGAGAGGGAGGGAGGAGAGAGAGGGATAGAGGTAGCAAGGGAAGGGCACAAAATGAGTGTGCTGCAAAGGAGAGGAGGCGCCGAGCCCGAGGTGCAGCAGGAAGGACTTCGCTGCCGGGATGAAGATCTCATTGTAGAATCGAATGATGTATCCGTGCTGGGGGATGGGCTGGTGGGGTATGGTTGAGGGACACGGGGGCATGGGGGGATGGGGGGCGTGGGGGGCATGGGGGGCAAGGGGGGCATGGGCGGCAAGGGGCAAGGAGGCACAGGGAAGGGGGGATTCTGAATTGTTTCGTTGTAGAAGCAAGTGATTCCGCCATGTTGTGGGACGGGCTGGTGGGATGTGCGTGGGGGCATGGGGCATGCGGCAACCAAAACCTGGAACGGCTAGCTGCAATACCACCCCACGCTTATGTTTTTTGATAATTCTCAAAGAACATACGCTCAAAAAGAGAATGCTCAAATAACATACGCTCAAAAAGAGAATTCTCAAAAAACATACGCTCAAAAAGAGAATTCTCAAAAAACATATGCTCAAAAAGAGAATTCTAAAAAAACATACGCTCAAAAAGAGAATTCTCAAAAAACAAAACCTGGAACGGCTAGCTGCAATACCAACCCACGCTTCCCTTCCCTATACTGCACCCCCGCCCCCATCCCTTGTGACCCTGTGCTGCTGATGCACTGGTTAATTGCAACCACGTGCCTGGAATGGCTAGCTGTAATACCACCCTGCGACAGCGCTTCACTGTTTTGCACCCACTTCCCACAAAGGCCCCCCTGCACCGCTCTGCACCCATACCATGCATATCCCCTTCACACGCACCATTACCACTCTTCACCGCTCTGCACCCATCCAACGCACCTCTTTGGAGGCAGAGTCAGCAGGGGGTGGCTTGGCGTCAATGAACACGTTTCTGAAGACCGAAGGTTTGCAGTGCGGTAACTTGCGGTACTGCGCGATGATGTCCTTGAACGTAACTGCAACTTGCGACACCTGTGTGAAAGGAGGAGGGACAGAGCGGGTGGGGGGAGGAGAACCGGGGGAAGGGAAGGGGGGGATGCAGGGGAGGAAAGAGCGTTGAAAAAGGCATTGCTTTGCAGTGCGGTAACTAGCGGTTCTGTGTGCCTGCTTGGCAGAGAGAGACAGAGATACCCCCTCCACTCCTCACACACACACCGTAAACAGAAGAGAGGATGCTTTGGTCGAGGGGGAGACAGAAGAGTCTGTGAGGGAGAGTGCTACCCGGCGAACAAGAAACAGGCAGCTAGGACAGGCACTTTTCACCCATCAACGACAGGCACTTTTCACCCATCAACGACAGGCACTTTTCACCCATCAACGACAGGCACTTTTCACCCATCACACACCCGCACACGCACACCCTCCTTGCACACACCATACACGGAGGTAGGTACCTTGCAGACGCCATATATGGAGGACAGGATGATCTGGTCGAGGTGGCGGCAGAAGAGCGAAAGAGGCAGGCAGAACAAGAGAATGGAGATAGGGTGAGAGAGGTAGGTACCTTGCAGACGCCATAGACGGAGGAGAGGATGATCTGGTCGAGGTGGCGGCAGAACAGAAGCTGCACCTCGCCCTCCACGGATGCTCCACCCCCTTCCTCTTCCCATTCACCCATCCCACAATTATTCCCCTCTCTCCTCCCCCAACCCCCTCTCAAACCCACCTTGCAGACCCCGTAAACAGAGGAGAGAATGATTTGGTCGAGGTGGCGGCAGAAGAGCAGCTGCACCTCGCCCTCCACGGCATGCTCCACCACGCGAAACACCATCTCCGACACTGCTGCTGTCAACCTCAGGCGCTCACACAGGCTGCGCACTCGCACCACTGCTAGCTTGAGCACCTGTGAGTGAAAGGAGGCAGGAAATTGAATGAGAGGGATGAAGGCAGCTACACTCCACCACTCGAAACACCATCTCCGACACCGCTGCTGTCAGCCTGAGATGCTCGCACAGGCTGCGCATTCGCACCACCGCAAGTTTTAGAACCTGGAGTGGTGGTGGTGAAGAGCAGAAGGGGGAGAGAGAAGGTCAAGAGGAAGGGAGGGAGGGAGGCAAGGGGAGCCTCTCACACAGGCTGCGCACTCGCACCACCTCTAGCTTGAGGACCTGGGGTGGTGGTGGGGATCAGCAAGGGAATAGAAGGAAAATGACGACAAACTATACAAGGCAGCAGGCAATCTCAGACCAAGGATGGAAGGGATTGACGACAGGAACAGAGAGGCTCTTGAGGCTTGGAAGGAACGCTTTCCTTTTGGCAGGACCGAGAAGCTGTGGCCAAGAGGTAGAAAGTGGTGGGTCTCACCATTTGGTAGAACTGGTTGAGAGCATCACAGATCGACTCTCCCTGGGGGTGCGGCTGCTGCTGCTGCTGACGGCTGTTTCATTTACTAAGAGTTCACCTCAGGTAATCTATAATCTATTGGCCGTGGTGGGTGGGTCGTACCTTTTTGCAGAATTGGTTAAAGAGCATTTCCGTTCGACTCGCCCCTGGGGGTGTTGCTGCTGCTGCTGCTGCTGCTGCTGCTGCCTACTCCCTATTCAAGTGGCTGTTCTCGTCTAAAAGGCTCACCAGTGGTACGTCTCATATGGCAAAACTGGTTGAAATTCATCTTCGTTTGACTCTGGTGATGCTGCTGCTGCTGCTGATGAGCCTACTCCGAATAAAGTCATTGATTCTTTCTAAACAGCTCAGGAGTGGTGGGTTGGTTCCCACTTACCTTTTGGCAGAATTGGTTGAAGAGCATTTCTGAACGGCTCTCCCCTGGCGGCGCTGCTGCTGCTGACGCCCTCTGAAAGGGACTGTGGGTGGCCGGAAACAGAGGGGGGGAGAGAGGGGGGAGTGAGGCAAGGACGATAGGTCATGAGTACCAACGACAGAAAAACAGCCTGCTTGATTCTCTACACCTGTGCAAACTTTTCCGCATTTCGGGGCTACAAACGTCTCTTAGAGGAGAGGCGCCTGCCTCTTGGAGGAGAGGCGCCTGCCACTTGGAGCGTGGCACACAGCATGGCATGTCACTCACGTGGTGAAGGAGGAGTGCAGGTGTGCGAACTCCCGCTTGTTCTGTGGCTTCATGGGGGAGAACGCGGGGAAGGACGCCTGGGCTGGCGGGGAGGCTGCAGGGAGGGACACATGGGTGGCATGGTGGGTAAAAAAAATGGGGAAAAGACACACTTGTTCTATGGCTTCATGGCGGAGAATGCGGGGGGGGCTGGCAGGGAGGCTGCTGAAGGGACGAGTGGGGTGCGATGGAGGGTGGGATAGCATGGTGTGGGATAGCATGGTGTGGGACAGAAGGGCGGGAATACAGAACAAGTGTGAATGAAGAAAACAGGGGATAGTTGTCCTTGTTTTGGCAAGATATCTCACACTGCCACAGCCCTCTCACCTTCATCACTCCCCTTGCTCTCCGGCGTGCCATCCCCCCTCTCCCCGTCCCCGCCACCCCCCTTCCCTCCCACTCCTCTCCCCACCAGCCTTCCCACCAACCCCTCCTCCCCTTCCGGCAGCAGTTGAAGCCTCCTAGCCTCAGCCAGCAAATGCCGCCTCGCCGCCATCACCGTCACATACAGACTCGACCCTTTCTCCCAGGCCAGACTCTCCAGTATCCGCTCATCACACGCGTTCAGGTGCCGCTTCAGCTCCCCAGGAAGCCCCTCTTCATATCTCACAAACCCCTCCATAACCTTATCCATATCGAATGCCGACACCCCCGCCGGGGCCAGCACAGCAGGGAAAGCGTGGGCCGTCGCCTTGTGGCTGGCTAGCACTAGCTCGGCCGAGCAGGCGAGCAGCGCGCGGTGGAACCGGTCGTTATCGAGGAGTGGAGTGAGGTTCTGTGAGTTGATGCGGAGGGACTCGGACGTGCACATGCGGAGGAGGACACGGTAGTAGAGCTTTACAGTCTCCTGCCTCCTCTGCTCCGCCCATAGCGCCGCCTCTGCCGGCTCGCTCCCCCCTCCCGCTCCCCCTCCGCCTCCCCCTGCTGCGGCATCCCCGTCGGCCTGCTTCCCAGCGTCACCTGCTCCCGCTCCCGTTCCGTTCTTCTCTCCTCCTGCCTCTCCCGCCGCTCCCTTCCCCCCTCCTCCCCCGGCCGCCCCTGCTGCTGCAGCAGCAGCGGCAGCTCGTTTCTTCTGGGAGACAGCAGAGAAGATCTCATGCGAAACCAGGGTCGTTCTGGTTACCACAGCGCCCGTTACATCCTTGTCACACGCGTGCAAAAACCGGAGCAGATCCAATGAAGGCTCCGCAGGGGAAGCAGAGACCACCGTTCTCAACCAATGAGCTGTCGACATGGCAGCAGAGATAGGCGTCTGGGGAACCCCCATCCCACCTCCGCCTCCCCCTCCCCCTGCCCCGGTTCCCCCTGTCCCCCCCATTCCCCCTGGGCCCAGGCGAGTGAGGAAGGAGCGGGCGGGGGAGCAGAAGGGGGCGATGGTGATGGTGGTGCTCCCCCCTCCGCGCCCCTCCCCCCCTGCGCCCATGCCGCTGGCGAAGGGGGAGGAAGGGGCGTTCATTGCGCCTGTAGGGGCGCTCTTCATGGGGGAAGGGGGAGGCATGGAACGCTGCACAGGGAGATATGGGAGGGGAGGGGGATGGGGAGGGGGGCAAGGGGAAGGGGGAGGAGGGGGTGTTCATTGCGCCTGTGGGGGCGCTCTTGAGGGGGGAAGGGGGAGGCATGGAGCGCTGCACAGGGGGATAAGGGGAAAGGGAGGGGGAGGGGGAGGGGGAGGGGGAGGGGGCAGGGGGGAGGACAGACGGGGCGGAGCCAGGCAGGGCGACGGGGGAATGGAAGTGGGAAACGAAACAGAAAGTGATTAAGAGGATATGCAGGTGATTTAGACGCTTATACACAGAAACCCAATGACCTGGCCATTTGGGTGAGCTAAACTCAAAGGTAATAGAGCTGCCAACGACAAACGCCACAGAACACAGTGGAAGGGAAAGTGGCCAACCAACACCATTCCGTACTACTCAATACCACCCAATACCACTCCAGCACCTCCAACAACTCAGCAGTGCTCACCTGAAGGCGCCAACGGTGGAGGCAGCAGTGAGCTGCGAGACGGCCCCAATGACCTGCCTATCTCCCGACAGCATTTGGTGGCAGATCCCACTCTGAGCCACACAGTACCGTTCAGTACCACTCACCTTGGCGGCGGCAACAGAAGTGGCGGCAGTGAGCTGGGATACAGCCCCAATGACCTGCCCATCCCCTGACAGAAACATCCGCTCATCCAGCGCCCTGTCCCCCGCCTCCAATCCCCACCACCAGGTGCACACTCGACAGCGGTACCGCTCAGCACCGTTCAGCACCACTTACCTTGGCAGAAGTGGCAGCAGTGAGCTGCGAGACAGCCCCAATGACCTGCCCATCCCCCGACAGAAACATGCGCTCATCCAGCGCCCTGTCCCCCGCCTCCACATACGCCTCCTGGTACGCCCCCTCCACCAGATCCACACTGGGCAGCGCAGCCGCGTCCTGCAGCAACCCCTCAAACAGAAACAGCCGGTCGGGGCAGAGCTCCCCCGCGTCGTGCTGCTCGCAGGATGCTGCGGCTGCCTGGCGCGTGAGGCAGCGCGCCATGAGCTGCTGGGTGCGGTCCAGGAGAGCGGATACCTCCCCCTCTGCTGCCTTGTAGCTCGCACAGAGCGACCCCACCACGTCCACTAGCCTCTCCCGGCCTGCTCGGCGCGCTGTGTGGTGTGGGGGAGGGGAGCATGGAGAGCTCGGACAGCTGTGAGTGAGACAGCAACAAAAAATTATGGGGGGAAGGGGAGGATCAGAAATTTACAGAGACTGCTCGTACACATTTTCTTTTACTTGTTCCGTAAAAGAATCGTCTCTCCACTTGCTAGATCTGAAGCTTAATCTACTGTAAGACTTACCAAATGTGAGGCGTTTTGCAGAGTCCAGAGATGGGGAATCTGACACTTACAGAATCTGACAGGGTCTGAGAAGGAGAATCGGCGGAGAGACGGGGGAACGTGCACTATCAGCACCACCTGGCACAAAAAGTCGAATGGAGGTGGGGAGAAGAAGGGGGCAGGGTTTTGAGATGTCTCAAAACTCAATGGGGGAACGTGCACTATCAGCACCACCTGGCACGAAAAGTGGAAAGGGTGGCGGATGGGGGAGGGAGGGGTTGGGGGATGGGGGAGGGAGGGGGTGGGGGGAGGGGTTTTGAGACATCTCAAAACTCGATGGGGGAATGTGGACTTTCAACAGCACCCGACGCAAAGCAAAGGAGGGCGGGAAGGAGAAGAGCAGTGGGGCGAATGGGGAGCACAAAGAGGTGGAAAGCGGTGCAAATGGAGCCCAAAGAAACGGTTGAAAGGACCGTGCAAAGGGGGTGACGGTGCGGCGAGATGGTGAAGCAGAGGGCGGATTACAACAGGATCGGGGGAAGAGGGGGGGCCAGGGCGTGTGGGGAAAGGGGGAGAACAGGAAGACTCTCACAATGCATGACCAAAGCTGGTGCAGCACCAGCCATGTGCCCTGTGCCCTGCGCCCTGCGCCCTGCGTCCTGTGCCCCGTGTCCTGTGTCCTGTGTCCTGTGTCCTGTGCCCTGTGCCCTGTGTCCTGTGCCCCGTGCCCTGTGCCCGGTACCCTGTGCCCTGTGCCCGGTAACATGTGCCCCGTGCCATGTGTCATGTGCCACACTCTCTACAGTCACCACCATGTGCCATGCGCCATGTGCCATGCACTCAGTCACTCACCAGCGTGCACAGCATTGCGTTTGTCGCGGTGACAAGATCCGGGAACCTTCTGAGAAGGTGCGCCTTGATGGAGAGGAACAACAGCCAGCCGAAGCGCATCTCGCGGGAGAACTGGGAGGTGGCTGCGGCGGCAGGAGGAGCAGGTGCGCCCGAAGGGAGGGAAGGCGGGGGAGAGCTGATGAAGAGCTCTGCGAAAACCTTTTTGTAGTGGCTGGGGATGGGGAAGGGGCGAGGGGGGAGGGGCAGGGCTGGGGGTTTTGAAGGGGGGGACAAGGAAGAGAGGAACAGCAGGCAGCCGAAACGCATTTCCCGGGAGAATTGGGAGGCCGCAGCAGCAGCAGCGGCGGCGGCGGCGGCGGCGGGAGGAGGCGTGCCCGGAGGGCGGGGGAGAGGAGATGAAGAGCTGTGCAAACACCTTGTTGTAGTGGCTGGCGGGTGGGTGGGGGGAAGTGGGAGAGGGTGAGAGAAAAAGGGGAAGGGGGAGAGAGACGGAGGAACGGCGAATGAGGAACAGGGGAAGGGGAATCAAAGGGGGGGATCGCGAGAGCTCTTGAATACTTGTTGTATGCATTGCAGCAAAACAATGAGCACGATAACATTGAGCTTTAAGATTGCTCAGAGGAACGAGAGGGGCACTCACTTGAAGAGCACGATTGCATGCACGAAGTTGGCTTGAAGCTCCTTCACCTGACGGGCGAGGAATGAGAGGGAGCGGCGAGGAGGGAGAGGGAGTGGCGAGGAGAGAGAGGGAGGGGCGAGGAGAGAGAGGGAGGGGCGAGGAGAGAGAGGGAGGGGCGAGGAGAGAGAGGGAGGGGCGAGGAGAGAGAGGGAGGGGCGAGGAGAGAGGAGGGGCGAGGAGAGAGAGAGGGGGGCGCAGGAAAGTGGCAATCAGGAACCACGATTGCATGCACGAAGTTGGCTTGAAGCTCCTTCACCTGGAGGGCGAGGTGAGGAGCGACAGTGGCGAGGAGAGAGAGGGAGGGGCAAGGGAAGGGGGCAAGGGGAGGGGGGAAACGAGAGCCATGGTTGCGAGGCGGACGAGAGGAAGAGGATGAAATCAAAGAAACGTCAGGGAGAGGATCGGAAGCAGGAAATCGAAATAGAAATCGGATGCGAGACATGAGATACCACAAGCGGAAGTCATCTCGGGATGACAGCACAGCAATGACAGCATAGCACATGCCTCAAGCCTCTAAAAAAAATTCAAACTGTAGGAGATCTCTCGCTATGACAGCACAGCACATACCTCGAGCCTCTGCTCCCACAAGTCCCCATACGCCGCCTGCATCACAGGGCTGACACGTGGCAGGAAGTTGGCGATCTCCTTGAAGAAATCCACCACTCTGAACATGCCACGTGGGTGTGGTGCAGGGTGTGTGTGGGAAAGATGGTGGGGGATGGGGCATGGGAGGTTGGGATTGGGAGGTGGGGAGTGGAAGGTTGGGAGTGGGAGAAGAAGAGTTTGGGGGAAGGAAGAATATTGCAAACGACAATTGGAATACCATGCCATGCCATGCAATGCCACGCCATGCCATGCCATGCCATGCCATGCAATGCCACGCCATGCCATGCCATGCCATGCAATGCAATGCCACGCCATGCCTTGCCACGCCATGCCATGATGCCATACCGGGTCACCACACACCCTCGTGTGGAAGCAACTCACGTCAGCTTGGTGGCGCGCAGCAGCTCCGACAGAGTGAACCACGGCCACTGTGACTGCAGAGGGAAGCATGCCAAACCATACCGTACTGCACCATACCATGTCACGACACTGGCAACTCACGTCAGCTTGGTGGCGCGCAGCAGCTCCGACAGAGTGAACCACGGCCACTGCGACCGCGAGGACCCGGGCGGCGCGATTTGTCCTGCTCTGGCGGCCGCCTCCTCTGCTGCTTTTGCAGGGCCTAGCTTTCGCACCACGAACAGCACGCACGCGCTCCAGGCGCGCTCGCTGTCGTCCGGGGACTGAGAGAGAGATGGGGGAGTGGGAAGATGGGGGGTTAGGAAAATGGGGGGTTGGGATCAGGGGATATGTACGAAATGCCAAGCTTGCGCACCACGAGCAGCACACACGCGCTCCACGCGCGCTCACTGTCGTCCGGGGACTGGGGGAGATGGGTTGAAGAGTCGGAACATACGCGCACAAACTAATGTGGCTCCACGCACGGCTGCGGCGACGGTGCAGATGAGCTACGAAAAAGACGGACAAGCTGACAGACAGACGGATGAATGACGGCCGGACGGATGGGCGGGAATCGGGGGTAGGGATGGACGGACGGACGGACGGGCGGACAGGGGAACGGAGGTACGACCGGACGAGTGGGCGGGCGGACGGGGAACGGACGGACGGACAGAAGAACGGATTGACGAGGGGACGCACGTCGGGTGCGCCGAAGGAAGCGAGGGAGGGCGCGAGGAGCGCGTAACAGGCGGAGAAGACTTTTAAGACGCCTCAAATGCCTCTTCTCGACTGCTGCTCGCCAAGTCTACCTGGCTGAACGGGCGGAGGACGCACCTCGGGAGCGCCGAAGGAAGCGAGGGAGGGCGCGAGGAGCGCGTAGCAGGCGGAGAAGAGCTCCATGGCCTGCTGCTGCATCGCGCCGTCCATGCGCAGATGGGTCTGCGCGCATGGGGGAAATGTGGAGAGCGCAGGGGGAAGCCGGGCACGGGGAAAGCGGAGGGCACAGGGGGGAGAGCACACGGGGAAGGAAGAGGATGAGTTGGGCTAACGGATGGAAGGCGGAGAAGAGCTCCATTCCCTGCTGCTGCATCGCGCCATCCATGCGCAGATGGGTCTGGAACGCGGGGAAAGGGGGGAGCGCACGGGGGAAATCAACTAGTTCGGCTGATTGATGGAAGGCGGAAAAGAGATTCATGAACTGCTGCTGCATTGCACCGTCCATGCGCAGCCGAGTCTGGACGCATGGGGGAGGCGTGCGGAAGGGCATATGGGGGAGCGGATGGCGCAGGCGGGAGCTGGCTGTCCATGCAATGGATCTGCGCGCATCGGGGGAGCCTGAAGAAGAGGGTGGGGAAGGAAATGATACCCCTTGCCTTTGTGACTTAACTGTCCACTGTCTCGTCACAATCACTCGACATTTCTACAGTCTCCTCGCACTCTGAAATAATCGCGTCGACCCTCATTGTAATCACACCCCGTCTCTACCCCTGATATAGTCACATTTGCAGAGGCTCACCGTAATCAGGTCACTAAACCGCTCCCGCCACGCATCTGGAAGGCTGACAGCTTGAGAGGTTTTCCCCACGACATAATCACCACCCGCACCCTGCGCATCGGTAGGGCTCTGGGCCGCCGTCATCGCAGCGTCCATTTCGCCGGTTTGCGAGCTTCGCGTGGCGTCGAACGCTCGCTCGCAGCACCGGTTGCCGTCGCACGTCGCGCGTCGACCGCTTAGCCGTTCGCACTACCGGTTGGCCGCTTAGCCGATCCTTTGGAGAACCAGGCGGGCTTCAGATGCACCAGCACACTAAAACCAACAGTAATGAGTCGTGCGCACAAGATGCAGCAGCAGGAGAGTAACAGATGTCGGAAGACAAGAAGAGATTCTGAGCTGGCGAAGTGTACGCGCACTGATTCTGAACGATCGGAACCTTGGCGACCGGAGGCTGGGTAAAAAGATGCTGCTCGATTGAAATGCTCGACAGCACAGAGCACTTAACACCCCTGAGCGATGCAGCCTAGATTATGAAGCTCGAGTACTGATGACGCTGCCGAGCTGAGAACCAGAACTCGCCTCCCCGTTCCCTCCGACGGCTAGCCTCAGAAGCGTCCGTTTCGGCAAGTTCACGTTTAGCCAGTCACGCGCCGCGAGGGTCTGCCACCATTGCTTTTCAAATACTCTTGGCTATCGGCAGACGACAGAGACCACACGGCCCCTAGACGTACGACGTAAGACGAGTCGTCGATAAAGCCTCCCCCAACTCCTCGCTAACTAAGTGTTTCCTGGGACTTGGTTTGACAGCCGAAGTCTCACGACGACTCACGGTTCACGTCGTAAGAGTAGCGCATGAATCGTGAGTGCTAAATATCCCATAAGGCAATTGAACGGAGGGCGGAGATGGATGGATCCGGTTCTGCCGACCCCAATCGACGGTACCGATTTGATGGGGAAAAGGGCAGATGAGACTAGATAGGAACCTGTGGTCGCAAACTCGCGGAGGGAAGATGTTTTCAAGGGCTACAGTTATATTTGACCTGCGGTGGTGCTGGGGTACAATCGGTGCCCATTTCAAGAACACCAGGTAGGCGGGCGGCATGTGTGTAAAACGTGTTTGAAGCGCTTCGCCACATTCGCCCTTGTCGCCACGGGCAAAAATGTGACAGTAATATGAAATTGCAACGTGAATCAAGTCAAGGGTTTTAATCTCATAACCAGGCTAACTTCTCTGATGACGGGCAACCGCTGCTGTTTATGTACTGTAGATGTTTTTCTTCCTCAACTTGGTGACTGTACCCCGAAATCGGCACAATGGTCAATTTAGTCACTCACGAGCAAAACGTTCACGAGTGACTAAATTTCTAATTGTGGAGAGAAAAATGTTTTGTGATAGGCTGAGCATCGACTGTAGCATGGCGCGGGAGCAGCGGGTCTCGACTTTCACTTGGACGATGCTGCACCAGTCCCCGCTGCGTGAGAAGCGAGTTCCCCCCAACCAGCGACCAGCGGGAAAATGGGCATTTACCTCCGCGGTAACACACATTGGGCTCGACCACCAAATCACAGAATTGGTGGTCCCAAAGCTTTGCGAAAAGAGGTGTTCTTTCACTGACAATAAAACACGTGGGGGAACAACATTGGTGCCTGCTACACCTTCTGATCTTGGCTGTGAAAGCCAATCAAACACAAGGGCGCCAGGGTGCCTGTCGGAACACAATTTTGTGCGAGTTGACGCACACCCGTTTATTCCTTAAGATGGCACATGCAAATATAAAAGGTTAAACCTTTTCTGAAAAGATAAATCTCCTTCGCATTATGATGAGATGCACCAGCATAGAAAGTTCCTCTGAATTCTGTTGAGTACATAGCGCAACGGATGTCCTTACTAGAGGTGGGAGATAGTAAGTAATAAGACTAATAAACACACATTCAGGAAGCTACAATTCATTTTTGAACCTTAGTTACGGGTGCAATTGAGTGAACGAATGGGAATTGCACTATCGAAGCAAGAGTACAATGAGCGAAGGCATGAGCGAAGAATATATAGCGAAACTACAGTGGTAACGGTAATGGACTGTGGTTGTCGCGCGACGGGCCTGGGACTGAGGTTGGGAAAAAAGTGTCAAAGCGGAGGCCCGGAGCGCGGGTTACCCGCCGAGCCGTGAGGTCGGGGTGCGATGTGCGAAGGTGGCGGGCGGATTGTCGATGCGAGGGTTGCGAGTGGTAACGGTGCTGACTGTGGTGCTACAGTGCTGTACGCGTTGAGCAGGGATGCGAAGTAAGGAAAAGGAATTTTCCTTACACTACCCCCCTTCCTAAGGAGGTCCTCCTTACGAAAGTGCGTATACATCCCTGAAATTTCGGCTGCGCAGATACTCAGTGAGGACGGGGTGGTTTTCGATTCTGTCCAGGGGAACCCAATTGTCTTCGGTGGGTGTACGGTCCTTCCACCGGAGTAAGAACTCGATCCTTCGGGCTCCTCGAGGGTCGCGAACTCTGTGACTCAGGATTTTTTCGGGGGTGATGATTGGTTCAGTTGGTGGTCTTGTTATGCTGGCTGGGCGATTGCGTGGTAGTTGGCTCGTGGACGGGACATAAGGGCGAAGTAGGCTGACGTGGAATGAGAGGCTGACGTACCAGTCAGCAGGGAGGAGGAGGTGGGCGGTGACGGGTGTAAGCATGTGGCTTATGCGAAATGGCCCGCAGTATCGGGGGCGGAGTTTCGGGGTGATGGGCAGTCGGAGGTTTTGAGTGTCAAGTAAAACTAAGCCGTCGGACTGGTAAGTGACAGGTCGGCGGTGGCGGTCGGCGTTGCGTTGAGCGATGATGTTTGATTTTTTTATTGCGTCTACTGCCCGGGTCCATGCTGCTTGTAATATTTCGGCGAACTGTTGTGCTCGTAGTACTGGGTTGTCGGGATTTGGGGTCATGGGTACTGTCGGGTCTTGTCCGTAGTTTAGGTAAAATGGTGACTATTGGGTCGTGGCGGATGGCGAGTTGTTGTACGCGAATTCGATTAGTGGCAGTTGCTGTTCCCACGTGGTCGGGTCGTCACACGTGGCCCTGATGAGCTGTTCCATGGTCTGATTTGTCCGTTCTGTCTGTCCGTCGGTTTCGGGGTGGTATGATGAACTGAACTGTAGTCGCGTGCCGAACTGCTGCCACAGGTTCCGCCAGAAGTTGCTGGTGAATTTCGTATCGCGGTCGCTGATGATCGCGGCTGGTATCCCGTGCAGTCGAACGACGGTGGAGATGAAGAGGCGTGTTGTTTCTTCGGCTGTGATTGATTTTGTGCAGGCTGCGAAATGTGCCATTTTCGTCAGTCGATCGACGACGACCAGGATCGCGTCGTTCCCACTCGCCCCGGCCGGTAACCCCGTGACGAAGTCCATCGTCACCTACTGCCAAGCACGCTCTGGGGGTGGTATCGGCTGTAACTGTCCCGCCGACCGCTGTCGTGATGATTTCATGAGCTGACAAGTGGGACACGATGCCACGTGTCGTTGTATGTCAGTCGGCATTTCGGGCCAGTAATAATACCGCTGTAGCTGCTGCCGTGTTTTTTCTACTCCGAAATGCCCCGAGGTAACTCCGTCGTGTGCCTTCTCTGACTGTAATAGTAATTCCCGTAGCAGTGTATACCCAGGCACCCAAATGCGTTCAGTCCCGGTTTTTACGTAATAGACTCCCTTTGCTGCTGCAAACTGCTGCGAATTTCCTCCTGTGAAGAATGGATCCGTTTGGTACCCGTGGGTGAATAGGCCTGTCAGTAGCGGGCTGGTCTGGGCGAGTAGTATTGCGTGGATCTGGGCAGTGGGGCGGGTCAGTGCGTCGGCGATGTTCGAGGCTCCCTTTTTGTAAGTGACAGTGTAGTGAAAGTTGGACTCGAGGAAATCGAGCTAGCGAATCTGTCGTGGGTTGAGGTGTGGCTGTGCGCGAAGGTACTGTAGTGATTTATGGTCTCTCCGTACTATCACGTCCGCGCCAGTCAAGTAACAGCGCCATACTTTGAACGCGTGCACGATCGCAAGCATTTCACGGTCGTGTATCGGGTAATTTTTCTCGGGCGGATGCAGTTTTCGTGACTCGTATGCGATAGGCTGTAGGCCATTGCCGAAATCCTATAGCAGTACGGCTTCGATGACGAGATTGCTTGCGTCGGTAACTACTTCGAATGGGCGGTGTGGGTCGGCGATGCGCAGGACGGGCGGTGAACAGAGAATATTTTTCAGGGCAGAGAAGGCAGCATGCTCTTTCTCCCCCCACGTAAAAGCGACCCCCTTCCGCAGTAAATCCGTCAGTGGGGCAGTTAACCGTGCCATATCGGGGACGAACCGACGCACATAATTAACGAACCCTAAAAAGCTCTGCAGCTCCGTGATGTTCGTAGGGGGATGCCACGCTTTTACCGTATCCAGCTTTTTTGGGTCGATTTCAACTCCAGCCTCCGAAATAACATGCCCCAAAAATTCTAACCTATCCTGGAAGAACTCGCACTTGGAACCCTTGGTCAGTAATCTGTGCTCGTCTAAAACCTTAAATACTGCTTCCAGATCTGCTAAGTGCTGCTGCTTATCCGGACTGTAAACTAGGATGTCGTCGAGGTACACGATCACGCATTTATCAAGAGCGGCCTGAATGCCTCGTTCATGGTCATCTGAAAAGTTGCGGGTGCGTTGGTCAGCCCGAATGGCATCACAGTGTACTCGAACGACCTCTACCTAGTCCTGAAAGCTGTTTTGGCGCAGTCCGATGGTTTGACCCTAATTTGATGGTCACCTCCGCGTAAATCTATTTTCGAAAAAAACCCGTGCTGTTCGCAGTTGGTCGATCGGTTCGTCGGCGCGGGGAATGGGGTACCGCGACTTGACTGTTACCCTGTTTAGTGCTCTGTAGTCGATACACATGCGAAAACCCCCGTCTTTCTTCGGCATGAATAGTATCGGTGCGGCGAACGGTGACGAGCTCGGTCTGATGAATATTTTCTCCAACAGGTAATCTAACTGCTTCCTAAGTTCGCCGAGCTGGGGCTGTGTTAGTCTGAACTGGCGTTGTACTGCTGGCTGTGCCCCCGGTTCTAATTCGATTCGGTGGTCATGTGCTCGTTGAGGTGGCAGTCCTTCCGGTAAGTCGTCGGGGAA